TCAATAGGATGTGGCATTGGTAGTGGTAGTTAAAGGGTGGGTACAACATTAAATTCGCAGTACATATTTAGGTATGTACAATAACTACAAGTATATATTATCATTAAATTTAGGTATGTACAATAACTACATATTTAGGTATGTTTGTTAACTACATATTTAGGTATATACATCTTTTGAGTGAGTTTTAAGATATTAATTTAGTAATTATAGGCGTCTAATGATTTATTTTTTACGTTACGGTATATATTATTATTAAATTAAAAACAATAAACATATATATTACATATTTATTATTATCTTTGGTTAATGTTGTTAAATTTAAATTCTAAATATTATTTTATAAAATATCAAAACAATCAAATAATTTTTTGTGTAAATGAAATTATTAAATTAATTTTGTAGGTGGAAAACATGAAACACTGTTAAAAAAATTGAAACATAAATTACATAACTTTTAAAAGAAGTATCGATCCTTTTTATAAAAAGTATGGACACTTTCAATATAATAGGTAAAAATATGATGTAATAGGTAGCGCTTATATAATGTAATAGGTATCGTTTATATAATGTAATAGGTAGTGGTTATATTGTAAAGTATCTATCCTTTTTATAAAAGTGTCCATACTTTTTTCACTGTGGAAAACATTAATTTAAGGTTATCTTTTGAGTGAGTTTTAAGATATTAATTTAGTAATTATAGGCGTCTAATGATTTATTTTTTACGTTACGATATATATTATTATTAAATTAAAAATTCTAAATAATATTTTATAAAATATCCAAACAATCAAATAATTTTTTGTGCAAATGAAATTATTAAATCAAATAATTCAAATTGAAAATTAAACAACAAATCAATTAAATATTGTTGTGGGTACATTATTTGAACATTGTTATGGGTACATTATTTGGAAAAATAATGTTCCGGACTTTGTTAGAAATAACTCTTTTTCATTGGATTAATTTCGTTTTTGTGGGTACATTATTTGAACATTGTTATATATAAATTTGTTGTGTATGTATGTTTTGGTTTGATTATATTGTATGTATATTTTCATTCAGTTGAGATGGGTTATGTATAACAAAAAAATTTATCTCTTCCATGTGATTACTTTATTCCAACCATGTGACAAGTGTGACAACTCTATCAACTCACAACTCAGCTTTGAACTCAATCAATATTGTCTTTTAGCTTGATGGTTCATAAAGCATGTTACTTGAACAGTATGAATCAATTATGCAATTTTCATGTTCAATTTAACACTGCATTTCAAATTCATTTCATATGTAATTGGAGTTTGAATTTAAATTTCAATTTGAGTTTGAATTTCAATATATATTTCGGCTCCACTATAAATATTAGCCCAAGCCAATATGCATGTTATCATTGATTATTCCTAATTTCCATTGTTTTTTTTCCAACGTTTAAACGCGAGGGAAATCCCGACCATTGTATTTTTTGGTCAACTTTAAAGCGTCAGAAACGTTTCAGGCGTATGATCTGGGTGGTATACAAGAAATGTAACAAATAGCAACTAAAATCATAAGTCCGAAATGCTTCTGAGTACCACCCAAATCATAAGTCTGAAATACTTCCGATGCTCATCAAAATCCAAAGCTCATATGGTGCCAAGCAAAAGGAAATCAAAATCCAAATCTCATATGATGCCAAGCAAAAGGAAATCAAAATCTACAACTTGAGTTTGAACATTGATATGATATGTTCAGTTGTTATCATGTTGGGATTTTCTCGTTTTTGATTGCTTGGATAGTTGTTCTCTTGCTTCTTCAAGTGTCCTTAGCTTGTAATTTATAGCTTGGAATGTGTTTGATGTTGTATATATTATTATTAAATTAAAAACAATAAACATATATATTACATATTTATTATTATCTTTGGTTAATGTTGTTAAATTTAAATTCTAAATATTATTTTATAAAATATCAAAACAATCAAATAATTTTTTGTGCAAATGAAATTATTAAATTAATATTATAGGTGGAAAACATGAAACACTGTTAAAAAAATTGAAACATAAATTACATAACTTTAAAAGAAGTATCGATCCTTTTTATAAAAAGTATGGACACTTTCAATATAATAGGTAAAAATATGATGTAATAGGTAGCGCTTATATAATGTAATAGGTATCATTTATATAATGTAATAGGTAGTGGTTATATTGTAAAGTATCTATCATTTTTATAAAAGTGTCCATATTTTTTTCACTGTGGAAAACATTAATTTAAGGTTATCCTTTGAGTGGGTTTTAAGATATTAATTTAGTAATTATAGGCGTCTAATGATTTATTTTTTACGTTACGATATATATTATTATTAAATTAAAAATTCTAAATAATATTTTATAAAATATCAAAACAATCAAATAATTTTTTGTACAAATGAAATTATTAAATTAATATTGTAGGTGGAAATCATGAAACACTATTAAAAAAAATTGAAACATAAATTACATAACTTTAAAAGAAGTATCGATCCTTTTTATAAAAAGTATGGACACTTTCAATATAATAGGTAAAAATATGATGTAATAGGTAGCGCTTATATAATGTAATAGGTATCGTTTATATAATGTAATAGGTAGTGGTTATATTGTAAAGTATCTATCATTTTTATAAATGTGTCTATACTTTTTTCACTGTGAAAAACATTAATTTAAGGTTATCTTTTGAGTGAGTTTTAAGATATTAATTTAGTAATTATAGGCGTCTAATGATTTATTTTTTACGTTACGATATATATTATTATTAAATTAAAAATTCTAAATAATATTTTATAAAATATCAAAACAATCAAATAATTTTTTGTGCAAATGAAATTATTAAATTAATATTGTAGGTGGAAAACATGAAACACTATTAAAAAAAATTGAAACATAAATTACATAACTTTAAAAGAAGTATCGATCTTTTTTATAAAAAGTATGAACACTTTCAATATAATAGGTAAAAATATGATGTAATAGGTAGCGCTTATATAATGTAATAGGTATCGTTTATATAATGTAATAGGTAGTGGTTATATTGTAAAGTATCTATCCTTTTTATAAAAGTGTCCATACTTTTTTCACTGTGGAAAACATTAATTTAAGGTTATCTTTTGAGTGAGTTTTAAGATATTAATTTAGTAATTATAGGCGTCTAATGATTTATTTTTTACGTTACGATATATATTATTATTAAATTAAAAATTCTAAATAATATTTTATAAAATATCCAAACAATCAAATAATTTTTTGTGCAAATAAAATTATTAAATTAATATTATAGGTGGAAAACATGAAATACTATTAAAAAAAATTGAAACATAAATTACATAACTTTAAAAGAAGTATCGATCCTTTTTATAAAAAGTATGGACACTTTCAATATAATATAATGTAATAGGTAAATTTGCAATGCTATCGGTATAAATATACCGGTTTACTTATAAAATAGGTAAATATAAACGCTACCTATTACATTATATAAGCGCTACCTAGTATGTTATTGTACTTTATAATATTTCCGGTTAAATAATATAACATAACCGATGTAAATTTTAACCGGTCACTTGTTTAACCGATCACGCCGTATATTAACCGTTTTTTAGACGCCGCACAGAACTACCCGTTTGGCGTGTGCTAGTTGGATGCACTTATTTCCAAAGTTTAACTTACGCCATTTATTGCACTCGTTTTCAGATCACTGTTCGTTGTTACTGAACACGATGACAAAGAAAGTACAGATTCAAAGATGGCATTTCAGATTTGAAGCTTCTTGGCTTCTTGAAAGTTCGTGTGAAGGAGAAGTGTCCCGGTTATAGGGTGAGGTAAGACGTTCGATTCCGTACAAGATTGGGTAGGTTTTGAGGGGGCAAGATGATTGGTTCAAACGCATTTGCCATGAAAAAAAGATATCTTCTTTTGATTTACAAAAACTATTAGTAGAGTTGATGAAAGCAACCCCGACGAACGATGTTTTGGGTAAAATAATTGAAACTAGATTGGCTCTTAATCTAGATGCGGACAAGAAAGAACTTTACTGGGAGCAACGAGCTCGGGCAAATTGGCTCAAGAATGGTGATAAAAATACAAGTTTTTTCGACAGGTTTACTACTCAAAGGAAATAGCTTAACAATATTTTGGCCCTGGAGGCAGAGGATGGAAGTCAGGTTGGAAAGTCTGGCTAGGGACTATTTCCAACAGTTGTTTTCATCCAGTTCTTCGCAGATAGAACAAGAGATTTTGGCTGGAATAATGACCTGTGTGGATGAGGAGACAAATCGAAATCTCTTGAAAGAATTTTCATTTGAGGAGGTAACAAGGGTTGTGAAATTTACGAGTCCTTTGAAACCAGCAAGGGAGGATAGGTTAGGTGCAATATTTTATCAGCGTTTCTGGCATCTATTTGGTCTCGAGATTTCTGATTTTTGTATTGGTGTTTTGAAAGGCAGATTTGATGAGAGACCAATAAATCATACGCACATTGTACTAATACCGAAAGTGGAAGGACCTACTCGTTTGATTCATTTCTGACTTTCACTTTCTCGTTTGACTCATTTCTTACCGATTAGTCTATGCAACGTCATTTTCAGAATTATTTCAAAAATGGTTGTTCATCGCATACATATTCACCTCCATCTTTGCATCGATAAATCACAAAGTGCGTTTGTCCCTGGTAGAATGATTACGGATAATATCATAGCAACATAAGAAATGCTTCATTCGTTTCAACAGAAACAGGTAGGAAAAAGGGGTATTCTGCGCTTAAACTAAATATGAGCAAAAAAATAAGCCCTAAATATACTAAATAACTACTAAAAGGAATTTTCTCTCGCGGCGCACGATAGCAATTTCTCTCTGGGTGCACGTTAGCAGGCCTAACGGACCTCGAGATCTCATCGTGTCTCCGGTGTCTCTTCTTCGCACGTTCTGGGTTACTTAGTAAAGGAGGTCTTCATCTTCTGTTGTCCTTTATCTGGCTCTAATCGATCGATGGACTGGAGAAAATTATTTGGGAGTTCCACAAGCAACAACCTCAATTTTTTCCCTTCGAAAATCAACGATGGAATTCCGATGATCATTCCACCAGCCGAGATACTGGAAGCTGGTAGCGCAGAGTGGAAGCTTTCCCTAGTAGGGCAATTCTTGGGTCCAACACCAAATTTCACAACAATGCAGCGTATTGTTAATAGTCTTTGGACAAAGGCGCTTCAAGGTTCTCGGGTCCAGGTCAGTCTTGCAGGCCCTAATCTCTATATTTTCTCTTTTGATTCTGAAGCTGCTAGAGAATGGGTCTTAGAAAATCTGTGGCACATACTTAATAAGACGTTGATCTTAAGGAAATGGGAACCTAGTTTAAAACGACTAGACTTTGATCTTTCAAAAATCTCAATATGGATTCATATTTATAATGTTCCACTCGAGTTATTCAACCAAGTAGGATTAAGCTACATAGCAAGCGGAATAGGGATTCTTATCTCAATGGATTATGTCACTGCTCTTAGAACAAGACTGCAATTTGCAAAAGTGTGTGTTGAGATTGATGTGAATGATGAAATCCCCAAACAAGTTGAAGTTGTTCTTCAAAATGGACAATCAACCTCTGTTTTTATTGAAATTCCTTGGCTTCCTCCTAGATGTAGGAAATGCAAGGTCTTTGGTCACAATGATAAAAATTGTTTGGTTAAACACAGTGTAATTCCAGCCTCTAATCAAGTCTGGAAAATCAAAGAATCATCAAATGCCAACTCCTCTCATGGAGAAGTTGTTCTTCCTTTAATTCCGTCCACTTCTGATACATCTCCTAAGGATTTTCCACCAAGTGTTTCTATTTCAGCTGAATCATCAAATCCTGAACAACCTGTTGTGCCTGTTCTATCAGATTTACCTTCCACTGATCCTTTCGACATGAATCTTGAGTCTGTTTCTGCCACCCATATCTGTCAAAATAAATATGATCTTCAAGCTAACCCAACTATTGAAATCCAACACAGTTCTGATCATTCTTCGTATCCTGAAAATAGCTCTGCAGTTCCTAAACGTGATAGGGAAAGACCCTCTAAGGAAAAGGTTGATTGTGCTGGTTCAAGTAATAGATTTAAGTTACTAAGTTCTATTGAAGAAGTCCCCCTAGTCAAGATGTCCCTCAAAGGAAAATTAGAATTGCTTCAAAAGGAGTGGCTGAACTTGTTAAAGATATTAAAAAGAAGAAGAAAGAAAAATTGAATAAGATTAAAAGTTCTACAGTTGGGGAGGGAAAAACCCCACTGAAAACCCTTTCTCAATGAATTAAGTTTCTGGAATATCAGAGGATTCAACCATCCTCTAAAGCAAGACAAAGTCCTTCTTAGGGCTTCTCAGAACAATGTTGATATTCTATGTTTACTAGAAACAAGAGTTAAGGTTGACAAATCTAAGGACATCTTTCACTCTAAATTAATCAACTGGAATGTTAGCTCCAATTATGATTTTGCTAACAATAGGAGAATTTGGATTCTTTGGAAAAAGAATATTGATCTCTCTACAATTCAAGTCTCTGACCAGATCATTTCTGTTAAAGGTCAGTTTCTAGGTCAATCTTTTGTTTTATCAGCTGTATACGGTAGCAATGATAATATAACCAGAAGACAGCTATGGCAGCATATTCAAGACCTGGAAAGAACTATTGGTCACCTCCCTTGGATCCTTGGAGGTGATTTTAACATCATTTTGCAGCCTAATGAAAGCTCTAACCATGAGCTCCTTTGTCCCTTTTCCACTACTGAAATGAAAGATTTTCAAGACCTATCTCAAGATCTTGACCTCCATGACCATCCTTTCATTGGACCTTTATTAACTTGGAGCAACAAGCAAACTGAAAACTACCTTGATAAAAAGCTTGACAGAGTTCTCATAAACTCTAACTGGGTCAACAACTTTCAAAATCCTTTTGTTGAATTTCTTCCCCCGGGTGTCTCAGATCATTGTATGGCATCGGTCCGGTTTTCTAAAGATAACCCCATAAATAAACCTAAGCCTTTCAAATTTTTTTATTTCTGGACTTCTCACCCGAATTATCTGACTGAGATTGAGAATTCCTGGCAGACTCTTTTTCAAGGTAACCCTATGCAGATTTTGTTCCATAAGCTAAAACACCTCAAATCCAGCCTCAAGAATCTTAATTCTTCCTGTTTTAGTGATATTTCTTCTCGGATTAAACTCAAAAGACTTGAGCTGGAAAATCAGCAATTGCTCTCTCTAAAGGGTGAAAATTTAATCGAAAAAGAATTGCAGATTCAGCATGAACTGCGAAACTTAGAAGAAGCTGAACTAACATTCTTGAAACAAAAAGCAAAGGTGAAATGGATTAAAGAAGGGGATCAATGCTCAATTTTTTCATTCGGCTGTGGCTGCTAAGAAAAAGAAGGAAACTATCAGGCTGCTTATTAATGACCAGGGAAATCGATTAGAATCCTTTGATACAATGTCTTCTGAAGTTCTTTATTTCTTTACCAAACTCCTTGAGGCTGCTGATCTCAAAGTTAATGTCCCTGGCCCTCAGTTTTTTACTGATTTTCTGAAATGCACTCTTCCCTCTACTATTTCTTCTTGTCTGACCAAAGATATCACCTCTCAAGAAATCAAAGAAGCCTTCTTTGGACAGGGTAATGATAAGGCCCCTGGCCCTGATGGTTATACTCCTCTGTTCTTCAAATCTGCTTGGCATATTATTGGTGAGGATATAGTGGCAGCTATCAAATACTTTTTCCATCATACTTTTTTGCTCCCTGCTTTTAATGCAACCACTTTGGCATTGATTCCTAAAATCCCCAATCCTTGCAAAGTCAAGGACTTCAGGTCAATTGCTTGTTGTACTGTTATTTATAAGGCTATCACAAAGATCTTAGTCCAGAGACTTTCTTGCTTCATTCCTGACTTAATTTCTCTTAATCAAACTGTTTTCATAAAAGGAATGAGTATTGTGGATAATACCCTTTTTGCTCAAGAACTGGTCAGAGGATATGGTAGGAAAGCTATCTCACCTAGATGCTCAATGAAGATTGATCTTCAAAAAGCTTTTGATACCCTCCATTGGGGATTCCTCTCGTATGTGCTAAGAGCTTTAAATATTCCCATAAAGTTCATTAACTGGGTTGAAGCTTGTTTTACTGAGGCTAGATTTTCAATTTCTTTCAATGGTACTTTGATTGGTTATTTCAAGGGAGCTAGAGGCATAAGACAAGGAGATCCCCTCTCTCCAATTCTCTATGTTATTTCTATGAATGTTCTTTCAAGAATTCTCAATCTTGCTGCTGAAAAAGGATTGTTTAGCTTTCACCCTAAATGCAAAATAATAGGTCTCACTCATTTATCATTTGCTGATGACCTATTAATCTTCTGCAAAGGCAATGTGGATTCTGTTATAGGAGTCATTTCTGTGTTGGATCAATTCTATGGAGTCTATGGTCTTAATCTTAATGCTTCGAAATGCTCTTTCTTCTGTGCTGGTATATCTCCTAATAATATTGATCACATTAAGAAAGCTATTGGTTTTCAACATGGATTACTGTCTGTTAAATATTTGGGTATTCCTCTTGTTACAAGAAAGCTCACTGAAAAATTGTGAACCCCTCATTCTCAGCATCAAATCCAAACTCAATCTCTGGTCTGGAAAGAATCTGAGTTACGCAGGAAGGCTGGAACTTATTAGAGCAGTGCTGTTCAGCATTGCTAATTATTGGTGCAGACAGCTGATGCTTCCTTACTCAATAATTAGCAAAATTGAACAGCTTTGCTCACGTTTTTTCTGGAAAGGTTCTGATAAATCAGCATCAGGTGCGAGAGTCAATTGGCAAAACATTTGCAAGATGAAATCTGAGGGAGGACTAGGGCTGAAAAATCTGAAAGAATGGAACAGAGCTTGTATGATTAACCTTATTGAAAATATTCTTGCAGGTGAAGGATCATTATGGGTTGCATGGATACACACTTATGTTCTAAAAGAATCTAATTTTAGGCTTATGGATGATTATGCAAACATAAGCTAGAGTCTTAGGAAAATTTTCAAACTCAGAACTGAAGCTCTTCCGTTATTATTGAATGGAACCCACTCTATTAGACAAATTTGGCAAGAGATTAGAAACAAGGAGGACAAAAAGACTTGGCACACCTTGATATGGTTCCCACATCATATTCCCAAGCATAGTCTAATTGGTTGGATGGCTATCTTAGATAGGTTTCCCACTAGAGACCGATTACAATGTATGGGAATCATTTTTTCTGGGACATGTGTTCTCTGTAACGGCATGCAGGAAAATCGAAATTACTTGTTCTTTGACTGCCATTTTGCTGTTCATTTAAGAGAGAATACTCTCCACCTTTGTGATTTGAAAAAGACAATTTGATCTTGGGAAGAAATGGTTGCTTGGGCAAGTAACTTGTGGAAAGGCAAGTCTCTCTTAACCACTATTCTAAAAATCGCTTGGAACGCCAACGTATATGCTCTGTGGGAGGAAAGAAATCGTAGAATCTTCAAAGGTTGCTCTCGAAATCCAGCTGACATCTTCAAAAACATTAAAGACCTAGTAGGTATTAAGTTGAGGGGGAAAACATCAATAGACTTGATCATGTCAATTCCAAACTTTGTATATCTTGGGGTATAGCTTAAATCGATTGATTTTGTATTTTTTTTAGAATGTAATTATCCCAGGTGATCGGATTTTGTTCTTGTAGCATTTTTGCTTCTTTAGGTAATAAAATTTAAATTATCCAAAAAAAAAATATGAGCAAAACATATGATAGGGTAAAGTGGCATTTTCTTTGGGGATTAATGGAAAAGATGGGATTTGCCAAGGAATGGATTGAAGTTATTAAAACCTTTGTGTGTTCGGTAACTTACTCGGTTATTATCAATGGAATATCAGTTGAGAGTTTTGTTCCTAGCTGTGGTTTGCGACATGGAGATCTTTTGAGCCCCTATTTGTTCTTCATATGCAGTGAAGGTTTATCTGCATTATTCAATCAATCCAATAGTTCTGGTGATCTTCCAGGTGTTAGAACTAATAGACATGTTCCTGCTATTTCCCATTTATTATTTGTTGATGACAGTTTAGTATTTGGAGAGGCAACAGTGACGACAACAATCAAGGTCAAGAACCTTTTGGCCAGGTATGGAAGTAGTTCGAGTCAGTTAATTAATTTTGATAAATCGAGAATTTTTCAGCTCCAATGTAATTGATAAAAATAGCGGGGATGTTAGACGTATTTTGGGCATTGACAATGAGACATGTCCGGAGAAATATCTTGGTCTTCCGGTGATTGTAGGTCAGAATAAGCGTGGGGCGTTCGCTTACATGGCAGATAAATTTAGACAGAGAATCAAAAGTTGGGCGATGCGGGTTCTTTCTCAAGGAGGTGAAGAGATATTCATTGTCTATTTTTGCAAGCTCTTCCTTTGTTCGCAATGAGCTATTTTCTGTTACCTATGGGGTTATGTCGAGAATTTGAGAGGACTATGGCTAGGTTTTGGTGGCGAAAGGCGGAGGATAAACAGGGAATCCATTGGTGTTGTTGGGATAAATTGTGCCAATTGAAGAAAAATGAGGGTATGGGTTTCAGAGACATGGCAAAATTTAATGTTGCTTTGCTGGCTAAACAAGGGTGGCGTTTGTTCACTAGGGCGAATTCTTTGGTGGCAAGGTTGTTGAGAGAGAAGTATTATCATTCCTCGAATTTCATAAACTCTAGCTTAGGAAGCAACCCATCATATATTTGGTGTATTGTTTAGAGTGCAAAGGGGTTGTTACTTAAGGGCTTGCGATGGAAGGTTGGGAGTGGTAATTCTATCTCAGTATGGAATGATTTTTGGCTCCCTCTGAATATCCTAAGGGTGATCGAATCAACTAAAAGTAATTTGGTGAGATGAGTTAGTGATTTAATCGAATCTTCTACCAAGTCTTGGGACATTGATTTGGTTAAGTCAATTTTTATTGAAGAAGAGTCTATTCTGATTTTGAGCATACCCTTATCAAGGTATTTACAAGATGACTGTCATGTTTGGAGTGGTTAGAAAACGGGGGAGTATAATGTGCACATCGGCTATCGTTTATTACAGATGAGTACGGAGATCTCTGTGGAGGATAAATTTGTTTTTAAGATGCTATGGGCACGTGCGTGTCAGCGTAAAATAAAAACACAGGTTTGGAGCCTCGTTCAGAATTATGTCCCATCAATCATAATTTATTTATTAAAAGATTGTTACTGAACCTGTTTTCTAAGTGGTGTACAAATGAAACTGAAACAGCGTTGAATATTGTTCGTAATTGTCATTTAACTCGTTTAGTGTGGATGCGTATGAGATATTCTTGGCCGATTCCTTTTATAGGAGATTTATTGCAGTGGTTACGTTGGTTATTTACTAATAATAATATTGCAGTGCATGTGGAAATTATGATAACCATTTAGGCCTTATGGTTTGCCTGGAACAAATTTCTACATGAAGAAATTCAGTTAAAAGTGGTGGATATTGTTACCTTAGTTCAGTCCGAGTGCAGTGACTACTCTGCAGCCAACATCAGACCATCTTATCCGAACATTCATGAGTCCTCTGTTTCGAAACCTCCAGGTTCATCGGAGGTAAAAGTTAACTTTGATGCTTATTATTTGTAGAACTAAGAAAAAGGGTAGTCAGGGTGGTGATTAGAGATAGAGAAGGTTTTATTGTGGTCGTAGAGAAATTGTTGAGCCATGTTTTATAATATTTTGAGATAACAAATTAAGGCAAAATATTTTTAAACTTAATTTAATTTTTTTAAAGTTTTCAAAAATAATTCAAAGTTAAATAAACTAGAATTTGAGCAAAAACAAGTTTTTCACGTATAAAGTATCGATGTTGTTCTTACAATATCGATACTATATGAACAATATTGATAATGTTCATATGGTATTAATACCATAGGTAAGAGAAGTATCGATACTCTCAAGGAAGTATCGATACTCTCAAGGTAGTACCGATACTACCAGTTTGTTCAAATTCCAGAATGCAAAATAGGTGCCGATACCCAAAGGGGTACCAATATTACTTAACATAGTAGTATCAATACCATTAGGCCCAGCGGCTAGTAATGACTAGTTTTATTTAAATATTACAAAGGTAGTACTGATACTCCCTATAGGAACACCTCAACGGCTTCAAATTACTCCCAACGGCTAGAAACGGTCACAAACACATTCCAACATATAAATACAAGTTCAAGACACTTGAAGAAGGGATATAACACCTATCCAAGCAATCATACACAAGATATTTGTGTTTTTCACTCTTTATTTTCATTCTCTTGTAAATATTTGTGTTTTTGTGAGCTTTAACTTGTAAACACCTACCATTAAGAGGTTTTCTTGTTTATTTATTTTTACCTTTTGTAAAGGGATTTTGGTTCTTTCTTAGCCAATTGAAAAGATAGGGGGTTGTAAAGGTTACTTTTGATCCTTGAAAAAAAAGAGAACAAATTAGTGAATTTCTTGAAAACTCCTAAATTAGGAGCTTAGGTAGTGGATGTAGACTCTATTGATGGAGTTGAACCACTATAAATCCTTGTGCATAATATTTCTTATCATTTAAATCTCCTTACTCCCTAAAATTCTCAAAAACCCAATTTCCCCTCTTAGCAAAGTATTCCCGATGCAACCGAAAAGATGGCTTCGACCTCTGGCTCTTACTACATTGAAGATTCTCAACCAATCAACAAGGAACCTTATTTCAACAAAACTAAGTATGCCTATTGGAAGAATAGAGTGATGCTCTTCATTCAAGCTAATGATCTAGGAGCTTGGAACTCTATCATGAGATGATACTCCATTCCAACCAGTGAGATGGATGATTGGAGTGATGTAGATAAGAAGAAGTTTCAACTCAATGTTAAGGCTACGAACATCCTCTTTTGTGCATTAGGCCCGGATGAATATGGAAGAGTCTCCTATTGTTCTAATGCCAAAGAGATTTGAGACAAGCTCCAAGTCACTCATGAAGGAACCAATGAAGTGATAGAAACCAAAATCAGTCTTCTCAACCATAATTATGAAAATTTCAAGATGAAATCGGATGAAGACATCAAAGCTATGACAGATAGATTTTCCATGATTGTTAACGGTTTCAAGGGATTTGGAGAAGTAATCCCTAATGAGAAGCTAGTAAAGAATATGATATACTCCTTTCCAAAGAATTTTCAATCAAAGAGGATGATGATTATCGAAGCTAAGAACCTCAAGTCACTCACTCTTGATGAGCTTATCGATTCTATTCTCACTCATGAGTTGATGGTAAAAGAAGATGATGATGATGAAAAAAAGAAGAACGAGAAGAATAAGGTAGACATTGCCTTCAAATCCACCAATGAAAGCAATCAAGATACAAATAAAGAGGTGGATGAAGATGGTAATGAAGAAGAAGAGATAGTCAAGCTATTCAAAAGATTCAAGAGATTCATGACTTCTTAGAAAGTGAAGCATGAATCGATCAAAAAGAAGAGTCCAATGGTGTGCTTCAATTGTCAAAGAACCGGGCATGTCAAGTATGATTGTCCTCTCCTAAAGAAGAAGGGATATAGTAAGAATAAGACATTTATGGCATCTTAGAGTGATGAAGATGAAGTAGCCAACCTATGCCTTATGGCCATTAATGAAGATTCAATGGTAACTTCGAATTCTAGTGAATTAAATTCTTATTCGTTTGATGAGTTACAAGTTGCCTATGATGATTGAGACCATGAATTTCAAATATAAGAAATTAATTTCAAAACTTAAAGTTGGAAATGATTTGCTTTTGAAAGCAAAAGTTGATTTTAAAAAACAAAATGAATCTTTGAAAAATGATTTAGAGCTTTCAAAAATCAAAATCAATGATTTAGAAAAAGAAAATTTTGATTTGAAAGTTAAGCGTGATAGCTTAACAAAAGAAAAATAATTGATTTCTAAAAATAACTCATTATGTTTAAAAATGGCAAAATGCTCACATTGCCATTTTCATGGTCATTTGGAACATACTTGTACC